TTTTTTTTTTTTTTACAATTTGTATTTTCATTTGGAATATAATTTGCTTGTTTAGGTACAAATTCTGTACCTAACCCAAGAACAGATTCTCATTCTGTTTTTTGTTTTCCTGTATAAAACCTAATGATCCTGTTTAAAAAAAAAAAAAAAAAAAGGTAGAAGTGGGTCAAAATTTGGGAATTCTTGTGTACCTAATTATTATACCATTAAAATAAACTCAAACACCATCATCTTTATTTCTATACTAAAATTTGACAATGGTTTTCAAATTGATGGATCTGTCACGTAATAGCTCGTAATTTTGCAACTTATGTGAGGAAGTACATTGTCCTCTTCAGAGTCCTATTTCAAATTTGGCACTTAAAACCCTCAAGAGCCCAACTTCCCTCACCATGACATTTCCTCTCATCAGAAGTTTTTAAACTACAGTTGAAGGGAAGGATACAGAACCATCATATCAGGATGCTGGCACAGTATCACGCAGACCAATTCAAAAGGATAGGACCAAGGTAGGAAGGGTTGTCCAAGCCTTTGCCTCCTGAACTCAACACCACCATCCCCATTTGTGTCCTTACTCTGTCCCTTTAGAATAAGAAGTTTGTTTATTGTCTATCCAGAAGAACAGCCTCATTTCGATAAAATATCATGGCTTCTGCTTTTACTATCCTACCCTGTGATAATTATTAGTGATAAATATTACTGATAAAGATCAGTAATAGTCATTTTTGAGTAGCAAACTCTACTTGGAATAAATAAAATGGTAAAATGGGTCTTCCAATAAATCTATGAAAGTATTTCAGATCTTTGGAAACTTCTCTTTGATTTCTTCTTCTTTCTTTTGAGCGGGGGCAGTCCTAGGAATTAATTCAGAGCCTCATGCATGCTAGGCAAATGCTCTACCATTGAGCTACTTGGAAACTTATTCTTGAATGCTACATCTATGACATTTCAACACCATCACTAACTGTTATACTTGTAACTAATGAAAGTTAAAGTGATGTTCAAGATGAAGATCAACAAAATGGCAAATGTAGTAGCCATAAATATGCCTACTACATTTTACCAATTCATCTGAAATGCAATTTTATGTAATTGAGTATTGCTTGGGAAAAATATGGTTCAAGAGGGTCTTTAAAGTTTTGCTGTGCTGTTCATTTTAAGTTTGATTTTTATTCTTGATTTTACATTTTAAGCTATATAAAACCATTTGTTTTCACTCATCTATTCACAAGACAGGACTTGAAGTAAATACATTTTAATGAATGTGTTTTTAATTAAAGTAGATTCCAAAGTTTTTAACAAATTAAAATTCAAAATAGATACAAATAAACCCAACAGTCAAATTTACAATGACAATCTAGTATGTTAAAACTATCATTATGAAAAATGAAGTTTGAGATAAGTAAACACTGAAGTATTTCCTAGGGAAAAAAACAGCAAAGTAAAACACTCAAGTAGACAGTCTATTATAACTCAGTGTGGACACCACCAGTATATTACACAGAGTAGACTTCAGTTCTCCAAGTGCAAGGAAATGGAGCTGAACTGAATATTTTTGCATTCCCTTCTAGTAAGAAAATCCTTATGAGATGACGAACATGCAAAGTGAGCAGCAAGTTTTCAAATTTAGTACTCGATTTCATTTGGAGTATGAAATGGTCTCATACCACTCCAACAGCAAACTTGAGAAAGCAAAAGAAAATAAACCACTACATTATTCTTACTGGTTTTTTCCTCATGTTTACTTCTTCCTTCATTTTCTCATTTTAAATTTGACATCATGAAAATTAAAGTTACTTTTCTTCCCATGATTTTCCACCTGACACTGCCTATGATTGGCGGCAACAGCCACACAAACTAATAAGGATATGGTAAAAAAAAAAATATTGAAAGGCTACAAGAGATTAATCAAAACCCTATTTCCTATTTCAGGCAATATATAGAAGAATGCTTCATACCATTGTTCACATATCTTTGGCTGCTTTTTCTTGGATCATCAGGTGGCGTTCCTTATAGGACCAGTTAGCAGCCTTCCTGAAAGGTACTACACTGGTTCCTACCACTAAAGCAGAGATCTCCCTACACACCTGCCACTCCCTGATATTCACCTCCAAATCCTCTACCATCAGGCAGTCTATATCAGGGATTCAATATGGGGAAAATACAGGAAGAACTTAAGGTTTTAAAAATTGGGAACTGCACAGTCTACAGCCTTGATACCTGCATATGTACGTGAGTATGAAGTCATACTCTGTGTGACTCCATAGAACATCATAAATGGTGAAAGCTAAAGGCCAGGCCATGTTCCCTTACCCTTTCTAGGCTATTATAACTCTTACAAATTGGAGTTTCTGCCCCTTTGTAGGGAAAGTTGAAGCTGTCTCCCAAGAACCAACTCACTCAAAACAAAACATAGAGGGGCTGAGAGAGAGGGAGGAGAGAGAGGAGAGGGGCAGGGAAGCTCTATGGTTTTTCAAATCACAGCACATCTGTACTATCACCGTCAGGTTTGGAAGCTGTGTGGACAGCTCTGATACGGGGAATATCTGAACTTGTGTCTAAACTGGCACTATCACAGAGTTCACATCAGGAATCAAGGACCCTCAACCCTGCCCTGTTCAGTGGGCCCAGAAAAGCTGCTCCACTCCTTGAGTGCTTCCTGGTAATAACCTGTCTGACGACTCTCCAAAGATTTACAAATAACTGAGATGATAAAATACTTGGAAAATGAAAGTGCCATAGAAACACTAAATATATGAGCCAGGTCTGCCAGAGCAGTTGGTTTCTCTGCTGATATCAATTAAAACATGTTCATAGATGTGTTATATCTTTCATGATGCCAGCGAGTCCAGGGTTCAGATAACATATTTCTATCCTGAGAAGGGTCACAGGAGATTATTATGTGACTCCCTTGCCAGGGTTTATGAAACATTCTCTCTGGAATTTTTTGGTTGGATCTTCACAGTAAGCCTGGGCAGATGCAATTGTTCCCATTTTTAGGGAGAAAGAAACCAAGGCCCAGAAAAGTTCAACTACTTGCTCAAGATCATATAGCCAAATGAGACAGAATCCAGGCTAGAGTTCAGGTTCCTCACTCCTATTCCTGAGTGGCCCTGCCACTCAAAATGGGAAGGAATGGCCTAAAGTAATTATTTGCATTATTTATTTCTGCTCACATTTGCTGAGCACTTGCTGTGTTTCCATGCATTATCTCATTTAATCTCCCACTTCAAAGCAGGTACTGTTTCCTATGGAAAGCTTCGCTGACCACCTCAGCCTAAAAAGAGCTCCTTCCACTAAAGCTGCACAATGTTTTTCTCTTACAATACTCATCTGATATATTGTGTATGATCCTTCATTTTAGCTAAGTTTTCACATGCATGCTCTATCATGATGTCCTTGAGGGTAGGAAATATATCAATCTGTGCATCTCCCAAGGCACTCAGAACAGTACTGTGTGCACTATCAAAGCCTAATTAATACTAGTTGCATGATTAGAGGTATGTGATTTAAAAAAAAAGAAAAAGAAAAAGAAAAACTTACATGGAACTAAGTTTCATAGTAATAAGTATTTCACATTCCAGAAAATGAGAAGCCTCAGCTCTTCAATTATTTGAGTGAACACTACATTAGCTGATTGCATTTCTGCTCTACCTTAGACATGTATATTTTCAAAGTACAGAATGGGCCAGGGGTAATCAGCCCACCCAAAGGAGAATAAAATTCTTGTATGGAACTGATCTGACCATCCAAATCTTCTTTGCTGATGGCCCCTTACCTGATAACATATTGTCTGTTTTTATTGAGGGAAACTTCAAAGTCATCTCATGCTTGTGCCTATGAATCATCAGATGGTCCTCTGTTGGGAAGCGCTGCGGCACAAATAGAAAAAAAAAAAAGATGGAAAGGGGAGATAGTCAGCTTTGTAGCACATATTTGTCATCAGAGAGAAAAAGATTTATTTAACATTGTGAATGTGACTTGCAAAAGCAAAATAATCAGTTCTGAATAAAGATTGAAAGCATGAGTAAAGTTACAAACTATTCTATGCAAGCAAATGTGCTGAGATATTTCTTTCATGTATACTCAAAATATATGCATCATGATTCCCATTCGTTTACCAAAGGGTTAACTATATTGCAGAATCTGGCTGAGTGCTGATAATGAATAAGAGATCTTTGCTATCAATCATTCTCTGAGTCCCCACACCTTCCCTGGGAACTTTTTAAAAGGCCTCTACTTCTATTCCCTGGATCTAACCAACTGCACTGACTAATTAGTACATTATATTTTTCTTTAGGAACTAGAAGGTTTCATCTGAGGGTAGGCTTTAAAATTTTGTGTTTTACTAAAGGATAAAACAGAAAGAGGTAAATTAAAATTATATATATATATATATATATAATCATTACATGATTATATATACATATATTTCAAAAATGTGCCATGCCCTAATAGCTGCCTGATGCTGGCAGCTTTCTTTATAAAAAGAAATAGCATTTAAATTAATGTTTATTATGTTCACAAAAAATTAACTACTAATGGCAGCATGACAAAATTAAAAGTTTCCCATTTCTTCTTATAAACATAAGAAGACCATAACCAAAATAAGAAACTGGATTTAGATCTGTGAGGAACTGGAATTTTGCAAAACCATATGGAACTTTTCTGTAGTGGTTACTGTTTTACATAATAGTGTAAAATTAAGTCTAAAGCATGACAAGTATGCTAGACATTTATCTATAGATTAACCCAAAGTAGGAGAAATGCATGACATAGAAAAGAATTTTGATTCATGTCAGACTTTGGGAAAGAATTATATGCCATGCTTGACATATATACTACAAATGTAGACCATGACATCTGTATAGTATGTTTCTGTTTATGAAGCCCTGATCCATCCATTATCTGTTTTTTATAAGTAGACATACAATTTTATAGTAACATGACAGCTTATTTTTAGTATTATATTATCTGCGTAGTAAATGCTTATTTATTTTTAATTTTCAGGGAATGATATTATCATTATCAAAAATGCTTCTCCCAACAGTGAATAACCACATCATGTACATACACAAGACTGGGATCCTAATTAGGATAAGATTTATTCCATGTTTATATAACTATGTCAAAATATACTCTACTATCATGTATAACTAAAAAAAAAAAAACCCAAAACTGTGATTTAACCCTCTCAAAAAATGCTGCTTCCAAATATTTTTGGCTATCTGATTTCTGGTCATGAGGTGGGACTAGATTTTCTGGCCCTATTCTGTTGGATGGAGTCATGTGACTAGCTCTGCACATTTAGTCATGAATGAAAGTGACCCGTCACTCAGAGGCAAGCATGGAATTAATAGTGTAAGACCCTCTGTTATTCCCCTCACCTTTTTAATAGTGTATCATGGTGACTTGCAATACTTGGAAATAGTAGTCACTCAAAAATCCTAAATCTCTGAAGGGTTATGAAAAACACTTCTGAATTCTAAAGAATTTTGAAG